TTTTAAATCTATCCATCGATCTGGATTTTTTTTAAAGATCTATTCTATCTATCTAGCTATCTGTGTCTACAGGAAATAAAATACAAAAGTAATAAAACAACTATATTTCTGTATGTGTTTGTGTTTGTGTGTAGATTATTAGGCTTTAGCAAGCACTCTATTACTTGAGCCATATCGCCTGCACTCCATTCTTCTTTTTCTGTTTTGAGATTTAGCCTTTTATAGTCTAACTCCATTGACTCTGCTTTTCCCAGATTATTATTACAAAAGAAAAAAAGGAGAAAAAGTAGTTGGGAAACTGGGAAAACAATGAAGAATGTTACCAATAGACAGATGTGGTATCTGAAAGACACAAAATGGTGGCAATGACAGAAAAGATGACCAGAAAGCAGTGAGAATAGAATGAGTCATAAGACAATAGGAAGTCAAAGAGTTATTTAGGATGCTGACCATTTCTGGTTGGGCCCCTAGGACTAAGTTTAAGTACAACAAGGAACAAAAGTCATGTAGTACAGAAAATCTAAGAATTATGAATTATGTAGTGATATAGATCTATTTCATGAATACTGAGATCTAATATCATCTGAGAATGTGGTAATGGGGGAAATTATCAAACTTTTGGGAAAGTGTATTAAACTAAAGTTTGATGGTCTGATCACACTTCATCAGTGTGGCCTGAGAGATTGGAAAGGCATGTGTACTCTGAGGTTGCTAAAGATGTTTAGCTTTGGTTTTACATGCTCTAAGCACTTGTTTTTTAAATAAGGAAATTTAAATATTTATCTCTATTCTGATAGGTTTTACTTATGCCTGCTACATTATTATTATTGTTGTTGTTGTTGCTAGTCCTGGGGCTTGAGCTCAGGGCTTCATGTCTTACTTGGCACTTTTACTTAAAGCTGGCACTCTACTGCGTGAGCCACAACTCCACTTCTAGCTTTTTGCTAGTTAAGTGGAAGGAATAGGTTCACTGGCTTTCCAGCCCAGGTTAGCTATGAACCTTGATCTTCAGATCTCAGCCTCCTGAGTAACTAGGATTACAGGTGTGAGCCACCAGTGCTCAGCACTACTTTGTTTGTATAATAACCTGTTGTCTAATGTGTGTATTATCCCTCTAAGAATAAAATGCACATTTTGAGACTTCTTTTGCTGTATGAATTACCACTACTGATTGTGTTTGTTGATGGAAACTGGTCTCTCTCTATTGCTCACTCTAGGTTATCCATTCGTGTTGGTGCTTGGAACACTCATTTACTTACCTGTGTGTCAGTTCTGCTTATCAGCTCTCCTTGGCTGACTGGGGTGGGAGGGAACCTGGGAAGGTTATGCTGCAGGACAAAGGACATAGATAATTCTTCTTCTGTATGAGCTATAGTGGTACTTCTCCACTAAACTGCTCAGCTCCCTGCCTCACTCACCCAAGCACCCACTCACAGGGAGCAGACAGAGGATTATGTTAGTCCTGCCCACAGCTCAGACTCATTGTCCTGCTGACTTTTCTTCACATTAGTTTTCACCAAGCATCCAACATAATCTTATCATGGACTATTTGATTCCAAGCTTACCACTTCATCAATGAAAACCAAGGTCTTCGTCTTCACTGAAGTTTCATCTTCAAGGCTTAGTAATGGTCTTGCACAGGATCATCTATATATTTGCTGAATTAGTCACCATAATGAAACTGCCAGCTCCTGTGGCCACTAGCTCTGATCCTAAAGCTGCTGTAGCTCTCATCCTTCGTTCACCTATATATAGTTTTGGTTTGGGGTTCCACATGTAATCTAGTCTGATACTGGATTCCACATGTAATACTGACTGATATTGAGGAGGCTAATATCTGAGGATCAACGTTTGAAATTTAACTGGGCAGAAAAATCTGTGAGACTCTTATCTCCAATTACCCATGAAAAAAAAAAGAAAGAAACAACAACCAAAACACAGAAGTGGAAATGTAGCTCAAGAAGTAGAGCACCAATCTTTAGTGAAAAAGCCCAGTAAAGGGTTGAGACCCTGAGTTCAAGGCAAATAAATATAGAGATAGTTACTTTTTTTTCTCTAGAGGGGATGTTTGACTGGAATATACTGTAAACATGTGTGGAAATGTAACAGTGAAATCCTCTTCTGTATAACTAGTATAAGTTAGTAAAAGGTTTTACATATAATACATAAAAATCATTTCCTGCCATGCTATAGATTTGTACTATGTAGTATACTTTGAGGAATTCCAGAAGTGGTGTTTCTGAGTTCCATAGTGTGATTTCAGTTGATACAGATTTGCTGTTAAAGAACATTGACCATAAAAAGGAGAAGATAACTTCCATTGGGATCCTATCTTTTACAAACATTTTAAAAATTAAAAAATATCTCAGATATATAAAGAGTGATATCGTGAATACCCATAATCATCCATCCAGATTTAACCATCCCAAACACTTAGCAATAATTGCTTGAGAATTTAAAATAATAATAAATAGGCAAGGCCATTGGAAGGTCTTCTGTGTCTTGCCATTCAGTTCTTCTCTTCTTCTTCCCTGTTCGGAAGCTGAACTGCAGCCTTCCTCCCAGATCCATATTTTTTCCAATTCCCTTCATAACTATTCCATCTATTAAGTGCTATTCCAAATTCTCCTGTGGACTTTACAAGCATCATAGAATCAGCTATCTCAATCCTTCACATGATGCCAAGAGGAAAACTTCCCTGTGGTCAAGGCCTGAATGTCTTCCCTGACATTTGCTGCTCCCTCCTTCTTTCTCCACCTCCCCCCTCTCTCCCTCTCCCTTTCTTTTTCCCTCCCCCCTTTCCTGGGGCTTGAACTCAGGCCCTGGGCACTGTCTCTTAGCTTTTTTGTTCAAAGCTGGTGCTCTACCAATTTAGCCACAGCTCTACTTGTGACTTATTCTGCGGGTTAATTGGAGATGTAGTGTTTAAAGAGCTTTCCTGTCTGGGCTGGCTTCCAATTGGGACTCTCAGCTCTCAGCCTCCTGAGTAGCTAGTATTACAAGCCTGAGCCACTGGTGTCCAGATGAAAAGTGCTGGTTTACAGAAAAATATTAATAAGCATTTAAAAAAACAAAACAACAGCTGGAACTTGACATTCGTGACCTCTGGGAGATGGTTCAAGTTCCAAATTGGGGCGTGTAAAGCCCTACATGACCCACAATGGCTACCAGACAACACAGTATTATTCACAAAACCAGAAAACGTGGGATGTGGTTTGAAAGTAGTGGATGAACTAACTGCCTCCACTCACACCCAGTCATTCCAGAACTTTCTTCTGAAGCGGATTATTACCACTTGCTTTTTAAATCAGGAAGTGGAGGTATGGCTCAAGTGGTAGGGCGCCAGCTTTGAACTGAAAAAGAAAACAAAGAAGAGTGTGAGGTTCTGGTTTCAAGTTTCAGTACTGGCACAAGAAAAAAGAAAATTAACTTTTATCATGGGAGTGGAAGAGATGGGAAATAGCCACAAAAGGGTGGCACTGATAAGATGCATTGTATTCACAAACTGCTTTGTTAAATGGCACCTCCTTTGTACAACTACTTACAGATTACACATTTAGGACATACTACTAAAATTGAATATAAATATATATTATTAAAGATATTAATATAAATTATATAAACTTAAAAATATGTAAATTTAAAACATCCTCAATTAACTTGGTCATGTAAACGCTCATCTTAGCAGAGAGGCATAGGTGCTTTCGGAGCAGGACAGAGTTCACTTTTAATTTTTATTAAAATCAAGTTCTTTTGTTTTGTCTATTCATGTAGTATTTGCCTGTTCAGAAAACATGGCTTTTACATGGGTGTAATCCCTGAGTATTACAAACAAAAGATATTCCTTATATATTCTAGACATTAATTTTTTGTCAGATACGTGCACTGCAAATATTTTTCCTATAATCCAACACCAGCGGCTCACATCTGTAATCCTAGCTACTTGGAAGGCTGAGATCTGAGGATAGCAGTTCAAAGCCAGCCCAAGGAGGAACGTCTGTGAGAGTCTACCCACCAACGAACCAGCAAAATAAGCCAGAAGTGGAGCTGTGGCTCAAGTGGTAGAGAGCCAGCTTGGGGCAAAAACACCTCGGGACAGCGCCCAGGCCCTGAGTACAAGCCCCAGGTCTCTTCTGACTCTGTGGCTCATCAGACCTGGTTGGCTTTTCGCGTTTTCTCCCTATTTCCCGTGGCCAAGGTGGGAGGGAAAGGGCTCTATGGGGCGTAGGAAGGTGACTTCACACTCCTGGTCACCGAATATCATTGTCACGGTCACACCAGCCTGGACACGGGGCGTCGAGAAACTGCTCTCCTCTTTTTCATCGGCCAGCCCAACTCTGCCCATCCTAGAGGCGGGTCAGCGCCTGGGTGCCGCCTTCCGAGACAGAGAGAAAGGTGGGGTCCCCGGCGCCCACCGGGGGTTCCCTGAAGCACCCCCAAGTCAAGCTGCTCGTGCCCACTCGGTCGCTTCCGTGGGGCACTGCGGCCCGAGCAGGTGCTGGGTGTGGCCACGTGCGGACGAAGCTCCGATCGCCGGGTCCTGCTGTGCTGGACGGCGGGCGTGCGGCACCCGGGGCGGGGATGGGGGGGTGGAGGGCCGGCGCCCCGCCCCGCGCCCGGGTCCAGGCCTTATAAGCACCGGTGGCGGCGACACGCCTCATGCCGATCTGCAAAGAGTTAATGGGGGTGAGGGGAAGACGGGTGTCGCAGGGTTCGTCTTCAGTGTCTTTTTCCCTCCTCCCAGCCCTACCGCGTTTGCACTGTACGAAGGTGCGGCCGAAAGGCCATTTTTGGCGCAGTGCATGCGTGGGACACACAACCACGGAGCCCGGGCGCCGGCGAGGAGCGCGGGGAGGCTCCGCGGGAGCCTGCGGG